GGGGAGGCCGAGAGAGCGCTGGGAGGCTGGGGGGCGGCAGGGAGGCGCAGGGAGGCCTGCGGACGGCCAAGGAGAAGCCGGCAGAGTCAGAAATGAGGGGGGACTGGGGAGGAGCAGGGAGGGCCGCTGGGGACCGGGGAAGACTCGCCACAGCTGAGGAGGACTGCGGCAGATGGGGCACCTGCCCGAGTGTGAGGAATCGGCACGGCCAGGATTCTAGATCCCTCTAAGGAAAAGGCAGGCATCTGCCTGTCCGTGAACCCGAGCAGCCCCCTCATCTGCCGGCTCCACCCGGAGGACGCGGAGCCCGCCGCCAGCGGCTGGGAGGGCCCCGGCCAGCGTACTTGGGGTCCTTGACGAGCAGCCGGCGGATGAAGTCCTTGGCCAGCTCGCTGGTGCTGCTGAAGTACTCCTCGTCGAAGTCGTAGTTCACAGCCGAGATGTTGGTCAGCGTCTCCTGCTTGGTCTCGCCCAGGAACGGGGACGCGCCGCTCAAGCTGGGGACGGGAGCTCGGTTGGGCCTCACCCCCAGCTGCCTCCCAGCCGCCCAGTCTGTCCCCCTGCGCTGGGCGAGGACGGGCCACCCGCACCCCACTGCCTCCCCGACGATGCTCCGGCTCCCCCAAAGCCCTGGACGCCCTGTGGAGAAAGCCAGGGTCTGTACAGCCACGGGGTGCCAGGCAGCTCCTGGACGCTCGGCTGTTGCCACGAGGGAGGGTAGGGACATGGCAGGACAGGCCCGGTGGACGCCACTGAGCCCAGGACCAAGGTCAACGGCCTGGTGGCGAGACGCAGCAACCATGCGACAGTGCCTGACAAAGACCATGGGACAGTGACCACGTGACACAGAACCATCTGACAAAATGACCGCGCCACACAGCAGCCAAGTGACACAGGGATCGTGCAACCCAGAACATGACAGTGACTATGTGGCACAGACCACGTAACACAGCAACCATGAAACACAATCACTGTGACACTGTGTGCAACATAGAACCGTGTGTCGTAGTGATTGGGTGACACAGAACTACGGGATAGTGACCGTGAGACAAAGAACCATGTGACACAGCAAGTCTGTGACAGATACAGCGACCACGCAACACAGCAACCACGCGACGGTGACTGCATGGCAGAGACCACGTGACACAGCAAGAGTGCAACGCAGCATCTGCGCACGCCTCCTGCTCTGGTGCTCTGAGGGGCGGGGACGCAGAACACACCAGGCAGACCCGGGCAAGGGAGCTTCCGCCAAGCAGCTGACCTCGCAAGGAATCAGGGGACAGTCTCAGGGGGAGGAGCCTGCCGGTGTCACCAAGTGCCACATGAAGACTGGATGGGGCCTGAACCAGAGAGGGGACACTGGGGAAACCCCGGGGCATGACTGCACCAGGCACGGGCATGTACCAGCCACTCCTATAACGCATCCTGCCTGCAGAACTCTCCAGAAGCCCCTGGGACCACAGCCTCACAGGATCACACATTTGTCCACAGAGCACCCGCAACAGGTCCGACCCCCGGTGTCCCCAGGACGCACACAGAAAGCCCCAGGCGGCACCACCCCGTCCAGCCCCGCCGGGAACTCACAGGATGTAGGTGATGACGCCGATGCTCCTGTGGACAGAAGGGAGGCGTGTCACTCGGCTGCCGCAGCCCCCGCTCCCAGCACAGGCACCGCCCCCCAGGGCCGCGGTCTGAATCCAAACCACAGGCAGCTAGGGGGACACAGCCCCGGCAGCGGCAGCCCTGTCTCCCTGAGGCTGCGGGCCCAACCCAGCTGCTCCACGTGAGGATGTGATACCACACGCCTCCCCAGGCCCAGCCGAGCTCAGAGTGGTCGGGCAGGGACAGGGCAGGATACAGCGGCACACTGCAGAGGCCAGGCTGGTCAGGCCGCCCCCAAGTGGGGACCTCCGTGGGTCTGAGGTGGCCTCCAGTGGTCGGCGGGCTCCGTCGACAGAGGCTCGGCCCGCAGGACAGGCTCTGCGGGACACCAGGGCGCTCTGCCGAGGCCCGGCCGGCCCTCCACAGCCAGGAGAGCCGTTCTCAGCCCATGGGCCGACCCAGGTGGAGGCAGCAGGCTGGCTCCCTCCTCACGACCCCGAGGCCCCAGGACGGGCGGAGTCCCCAGCCAGTGGGTGGGGAGGGGCACCCACGCTCACCACATGTCAGCCTCCAGGCCCAGCGGCTCGTAGTTGACGATCTCAGGGGCTGTGGGACAAGGAGGCAGCAAGTCAAGAGCTGGGATACGCTGGCTGAAGAAGGGGACAGCTAGCCTTCGTGGCCCTGCGGCCCCAGACGTGGGCTCGAGGCCTCACAGACATCGCTGCGTGGGCGCCTGGGCCCCGCAGCAGGAAGGCACCACGGCACCCCCCACAGCCCTACATCCAGCAAGCCAAGTGACGCTGGGAACAGAAGGTGACCGGGTCGTGGACATGCCCTACACTCCCAGTCACTCCAGGACAGACCTTGGCCTCACCCACAAACTTTCGCCCGACACACCCTGCGGCCTCACCCACGAACTCCAGCCCGACACACCCCACGGCCTCACCCACGAACTCCGGGGTGCCGAAAATGTTCTTGAACTCGTTCCCCGCCTCGATTTTGTGGGCGATGCCGAAGTCGATGAGCTTGATCCGAGGGTTGGGCACGTTCTTGTCCAGGAGCATGATGTTCTCGGGCTGGGGGCGGCCGGAACTCAGCAGGCGCAGACATGCCCAGGCCCCCGCGCCCGCCCGTCAGGCCCCGCCCT